AATGTGAAAAGAGCTCTTACAAATAAAACACTGAGGGAAAATGGGCAACAGACATAGCAAACAATTGACAGTAGAAACATAAATGGCAAACATGTACACACATCCATTTCTACTTCCCTATTAAAAAAAAACTCAAAATATCTATAACAAGCTTTTTTTCTGTCCTATCAAGTATACAGATCATAATACTCAATAGTGGTAAAAGTAAGATACATATTTTCTAACTGTTGGTGGTAGTTTATGAGTGTTCTGAGTATCACCATTGCAAAGAAATTCAGTATGTGTATTTAAAACCATAGGATTCTTGTTGATAGCTTTTCTTTCCTATTCCAAGGAAATTAGCAGCAAAATGTGAACCAAAATGCATAAACAAATGTATTTGTTGTAGAGTCATTTATTATAATGAAAAATTGAAAACAAAATGCATAATAACACTGGAATGGTGAAATATAGGGTACTTATATATATCTCATTACTCAGATTTAAAAAATCAATTTTTCAAAGTGTAATTAATGACCTAAAGAGATACAGTACGATATTAAATGTAGAAAGTAGGTAGAGAATGTTTATAGAGTTTGATCTCAATTAAATATATAAATCTCAATTATAATAAGTACATCTTCCCTCTTTTTCTTGGCTGGGTATTCTTGAGAGGAAAAATTACACAAGTAAATAATTTGAGACATAATTGAAGTGAGGGGATACTTGATTTTGGAATTTTCTAAATTTGAGGCTTATTAATCTTTTTGGTCTGATTTTAGGGTTTTTCCTCCCTAACATTGTATGTTTCTAGATGAAAATTGAAAATATTAAAAAGTCTTACCAATCTGTCTAGGTTTTATAAATGCAATTAGATTTTAGCAAGATTTTACTTAACTAAAAGTAATTGGAACACTGTGCAAGATCGTTTGGAGTCAAATACTAATGGAGACAAAGATTTTCAAAAACAATAGAAAAGAGAGAGAAAAAGATGTAGACGCTTAACCTAAACATCTGTACCCCCATAATATGCTGAAATAAAAAAAAAAAGAAAAAAAAATCTAGATTCAAGGAATTGAATCAATTTAGAACTTTCAAACAAATAAAACATGTCTATAGTAGAAGTTTTCCTCTTCCACAATTGCTTCTAATACCAGAATCTGAGGGAAAGTGGTCCTATCCCACATTCTAAAACAAGCTGCCAGCAATTGAGACTCATGACTTTTCCATAGGGTTTACAGAGAAGCAACAGTGGTATTATCTTTACCTACCAGCAATTTCCAACCTCCTTTGTGCTCCATGTCCCAGTTAACTTTAAGAGGACTCAAATGGGAGGGGCTCATAAACATTGTGGAGAGTGAAGTGTTTGTAGTAAGGGACAGTTCCCTCTCTTCCCTTCTTTCATCTCTCTAAAGTCAAAGGTAGAGGCTTCAAGGGAATCACTGAGAAAAAAGTTTGTAGACTACAAGAAGGGAAAAGCATCCCCTCATTCCACTGAAGGCTGGTAAGCTACAGAACTCCTTCACAGATCTGTGTAGCTTTTGGAGGGGCCAAAAGAGCACCACATATATTTCTTTGGCTTTCCATGTCCAAGCACTCAGAGTGGAGGAGGAGCAGGAGCCACAGGGTTACATACATGAGAAATCAACAAAAGGCTGTGAAATGGGCTTCTTCTTCTTTTATTAATAATTTAAATATGAGAGAATTGTTAATGATGAAATTTATTAAAATGAAGAAAGGATGGACTCAGAACATGCCAAATACGAAATGTCAATTATTAGTTCAAAAGTTAGTTTACCATGTTTTATCCACCAAGTCATTGCTTGTAACTGAAGTCCTTATTTCCAGGTTTCTTCTCTTCTCTGAGCTCCAGATCTCTCAATTTTTTTAAACTAGTAATTTCCCCTAAATATATGTAAGACAACAAAATCTACTCTCAGCTGGAATAAATACCATCCCAGCCAGAAAAGATGCATGCATTCTTAGATGAGATGTAATATGCAGGACAAGTTAAGAACACAAAGGCTCTGGATCCTGATGGCCCATGATTGAACAATGAATTGATTGATTATTAGCTATATGACCTTGGGAAAAGTATTAAGACTCATTTTTTTAATCTGTTAATGATGAGATAATAGTAGCCATCTCATAGTAGGGTTGTGAAGATCTGGTACTTGGCTCAGTCACTGCTGCGTAGTTATTCAATAATTATTAGCTACTAATACCAATCTCTCTCCTTTTATCAACAAGTCCTATTGAGTCTCCTCCTAAATTTTAAACTTTTCCTGTCATCTCCTTTCGCCCCTTCTACAGCTTCATGCTTCAGATCTTCATTACTTCATTGCCTGACCTATTATGATAGTCTCATAATTGATTTCTGTCTCTTGTCTTACTAATCACCCTTGCCCACTATCATCTGCCATACAATAGCCACAGTGAGTTTGTAATGAATCCAATCTTTTCCTACTAAAAGCCTACAAGTAGTTCATCACCTATAGATTAAAACAGATAAGAAACGTTCTAGGTGCTTCTTAACCTGGCCTCCAGCCACCTCACCAGCTTCATCCCTGACCATTCTTCCATAAATCTCAAATACTTCACTAACCAGTAATGCCAACTACACTAGTCATTACACACACAAGATAGGTCAAAATATTTTTCATTGGCAAAAACTCATATAATCAAACACTAGTTCCCATGGAAATTGATGCCAAAGCTTTGTTGATTCTATCAATGGAAAATAAACTCAAGCATCAGGCAAGTAATGTCATAATAATATTCATTTATAATTTCACACAAACAAAACAGTTATCTGTCATTACATTAAGACTTTAAAAAAAATCCTGTGGTGATATAGCACCTCTTGTATTTTCCTGTATACATCTGGAACCCATTCTACTAAGTGAAGTATCACAAGAATGGAAAAATAAGCACCACATGTACTCACCAGAAAATTGGTTTCACTGACCAACACCTAAGTGCACATATAAGAATAACATTTATTGGGGGTTGGGCAGATGGGGGGAGGGAGGAGGGGATGGGTATATACAAACATAATGAGTGCGATGTGCACCATCTGGGGGATGGACACGCTTGAAGCTCTGACTTGGGGGGGGGGTAAGGGC